AATGGTAAAACTCTGAGACTTTGATTTTAAAAATAATTTTAAAAAAATGTAATATTTTACTTTATTGTTGTATAGGTTTTTCGAAAATATTGGTTTAAGCCGTTGAATGTCAAGTTTAAGTCGTCAATTCACATACTGATAATCTGTTATTTCTTGAATGTCATTACTTAACGAGGAGACATGGTTAAAACTAGTGGATTGGTATATTTATTACAATTTAAAATTATTAATAAGCATGTAAAAATTAAAAAAAAATATCGGAATTCTACCAAATACATGCTCAACTAAATGACGTTAAACATATTAGGTTATTTCAATGGCTTAAATAAAAAAAATCCAAACATAAAGGCCACGATAACTTTGTGAGTAATAAAAACAAGTGAATTGGTGAAAAGGCATAATAAGTATTATGTAACATTGTTATTTTAAAATTTATTTGTTAATTTATAAGTTATAAGTGTGAACTTAAAATTTTGAACTTACCGCCCAAACTATTAATTCAAAACGTTAATATTGTGCTAATAAACAAGGGATAAATATCGATATTAAACATATGTATCATATAATTATTCTTTGCATTTGTGCCGGCATATATCCAGATGCCTTAAAAATCTCTATAATAAAACTATTATTTAAGAAAAAAATAGAGAGTTAATTAATAAATGTAGACCAATTTTACTCATTTCCATAATTTACAAAATAATTGCAAAGTACATTTTTTGTGTGAGGAACAGAAAGGGTTTAACGAAAAAGCTTAAGATACACTTTTTAAAAAATATGGTCAGATATTTTGAAGTATATATGAAAATATAATTTTTTTTTGATTTAGTCACATTTATTAAAATTTAGGAAACATATTATTCCCCGTAATTTCGTCCTTGCTTATAAAGGGGTTGAGAAACAAATAAATAGTCAGAAAATAACACCCTTGATTTTTTTGAATTTAAAAACAATTTATTAATCAAACTTCGTCAAAGTTTCATCACATATATAATTAATGTAAATATCTCAAAAGCTTTAACATCCTAGAAAGGGCTAGCGCAATGCGCCATTTATGACTCGGAATAAAGTTCTCTCATTTCACTGCCAAAATCGACACATGTTAAGCTTTAACACATTGCGAAATAGGTCACACTAAGCTGGCTTCAAAGCATTTTGTATTAACATCAAATAATAATATACCTTAAGTGTAATAAAACATTCAGGTTTTAGACAGTTTAGTTTTGTAAGTATACAGTGGTTTTCGTTTAATTATTTCACAGAAATATTAACGAGTATCGGCCTTACTTATAATTGCTGATGATCGGTTATCTCTTTACCTGTCTCTTTCTATTGTCATTTAGTGAAGAGAGAGAGAGAGAGAGAGCAACAAACTATTCAATGTTTAGTTAAAACTTAAGATATTAATTTATGTATTAGCTAACATTTAGTATTAAGATAATATTGAATTTATAAAGCTCTAGGGTACTGCAGTGGACTGTATGGCTTTAAATTGACTAACTGTGTACTATGACTGATTTTAACTATTCTGTGTAGGGTAAACTATACTACGAATGGTTGAAGAAAAGATGGTACTGCAGACGATCATATGCACTGATGCACTATTTACAAGCGACGTTAATTAATTATGTACAGATGGGAGTCTTCTCTCTTGAGGTTTTCTCTCTTGAGGTTCAAGAAAGAAGTTCTTGATGTTGTATCTCGTAGTGCCGCTGCCAAAATGAACGACGTACAGCCCAAAACGCCCTTCTTATATTCTCAAAAAGGGTGTTTCGACGTGTGCGTGGTATTGTGAGGTGTGCCGCGCGCTGATTGGTCAGCGGCATCACGTGGTATTCGGGCGGTGTGTGGGGCGCGCGGGGCGCAATGGGGTATGAAGGTGCGACGGGGTGGCGGCTCCCCTCGCATTCTGTAACATTCTCCCCCCGGCGTAGCAAGCGAGCCTAATCTTCTTTTAGGAGGACGGCAATCTTCCTCACCGGTCGTCGCAGCACTCCGCCTCTGGTCCGGTTCTCCACGTTGCGCACCACGCCGTCAGGTTCGGGAAACGTCCTCGTGACTATCCCCCTCGGCCACACGTTCCGCGATAGGTTGCCGTCCGCAACCACGACGAGGTCCTCTTCCTTTATTTCCTGTCACTGGGCGTCTCGGGAAGCTCCGCGCGCGACCAGCGTCGGCAGGTACTCCCTCACCCAGCGCCTGCAGTATTCATCGGCCCCTGCGCCGCTCTCCACGTCCGACGATCGAGGGGTGAGCACGGCGCGGTGATTGGTAGGCCCGACGATCCCAACAGGATGAAGTGGTTAGGTGTCAATGCTTTTTTGTCATTGATCTCGACCGGTACACGAGTCAACGGTCGAGAGTTGACGGTGTTTTCCGCTTCCGTTAAGAGTATTGCTAGAGTCTCCTCCCTTGGGCTCTTCTGAGCCTGGCTAAGTGGCTTCCAGCGCTGTCTTCACCGAACGCACGGGCCACTCCCATGCGCCTCCCTGATTGGGTGCGCCTGGTGCGATGAACTTCCACTCCGTGCGTCAAGTCAGCGCGAAGTCCTTCAGCTGCGGTTCTCACTCTTCCATTGCCCGTCGTAACTCTGCATTTGCTCCATGAAAATTAGTTCCGTTATCTGAGTATATGACCCGTGGCCACCCGCGCGTAGCCACCATGCGCCGCAATGTCGATATAGCTGAGTCTGTCGTTAGGGAGTAAACTAGCTCTAGATGAACCACGTGCGTCGTCAAACACGTAAACAGTGGTACCCTCCGCTTTTCGTGCCGTCGTCCTATCGTAACTAACAAAGGCCCGAAATAATCGACTCCGATGTAAGTAAACGGTCGCGCAAACGCCCCAAACCGTTCGGGTTGTAGGTCGCCTGTAACCGATGGCTGTGATGTTGCCTTGCGTACCCTGCATCGCAGACATCTCCGCTCTACTTCTCGTACGGTCGCTCGTAGTCGGAGGATACGACTACGAGTGGTGCGTAAGTCGGTGACCACCCTCTCCCTGTTGGCATGGCTTGCCTCCTGATGCGCCTTCTCTATAAGCAGCTTCACAAATCGGTGGCGTCCATTCAGTATGACGGGTCGTTTCATCTAATCGTCCACGTCAGCTGCGTCGATTCTTCCCCTGGCTCGTAGTATTCCGTCTTCTAGTATTGGGTCGAGCTTCCTAAGAGCGCTGCCGGTGACCAGATTCTTCCCCTGCTAAAGTAGACTGATGTCTTCAGCGAAGCTTTCGAGTTGACTGCATTCCATCCACATCCGCCCTGCCCTCTGAATGTGATCCAACGTTAATCATTCTGCCCTTCCTCGTATGGAAACGATGAACTGCAGTACTCATGCTGTGGCCCTGATCAATCTCTCGTAAGAAGAGAATCGTTCTATGTCTGGCAGGTGTGGAGCGTCCTTGGTGTCGCTCTGGTGCGCCACGATTTCCTCCAACTGTTCATCATTCCCTGACTTCTCTTCCTTCCGGTGAGGCCTACTGTCTTCTTCTTCGTAGAGAAATGACGGTCCTGTGAACCATTGGTCATTTTCTCCCTTGCTCACGAAGTTCATGCGCGTCGCCTGATCTGCCATGTTCTCTGCAGTCGGTATCCATCTCCTTCGCTCGGGTGATGTCTTCTCGGCTATATCCCCTAATCGATGAGATACGTATGGAGCGTAACGCGCCGTATCGTTCTGTATCCAGTGGAGCGCCGTAGTAGAGTCCGTCCAATATATGACCCTATCGGCTACCACTCTGTGTTCGTCTTGTACGAATTCCGTGAGTCACGCGCCCATCAAGTTTGCCTGCAACTCTAGTCGCGGTATACTTTGCGCCTTAATCGGAGCAACTTTTGCCTTGACCGTGACGTACGTAGAGAGCTATCCGTACCGTTGCGATGAGTACGTTCCCTATCATCGTGCGGTCGGTTCCCTATTACTCCCCCCGTGGGAGCATAGCGTCCTGGCAGTCGTGAAACCTTCCTAACTGGACTGGCGAGCACCTGGATGTCCTCATCTGACGGTCCGCTGGTGCTTGACAGGTGCAAAACCGTCTCGTTGTCTTGCCTACACGTTCCACGCGGCGCGGTCCCTTGAATTGCCCACCCTAATAACGTCCTAGCAGCTATGGGCTGCCTCGGCATCCTATCCTTTAATTACGCGTGATTATTAAATGCCAGTTGTCGGCTCCTAATAATACTCTCGGATTCACGTCGTCGTAACATACCGCACTCGGTAAGTCGCGTAAGTGCTTCAACCGCAAGCACTCCCTACCCACAGACTGCGAGCCTATTTTTAAATCAGCGCGCGCTTACATTATAAATCTCATTGAGCGTTTTGCCATGTATCCCTATTTTCACTAACCTACTATTGGCCTTGCGTTGACTATTATTTACGCCTCTAATATTGAGCGGCTTCGTCGATACTTCTGCTCCTAACTCGCGACCAAATTAATCGTCGATCAACGATATGGTGGATCCTTTGTTGAGTAGCGCATACGTATCTTTTTACCACGCGGTCCGCACACGATAATGGGGCACACTTTCAACAATACCGACACACTGCCATTAACGTTCGACGTGACGAGCACGGTTTCGTCTGGTTTTACACATGTCTCAGGCGTCCGGACCTTGCAGGCGTGAAGGAGGGCATGGTGGTGGACGTTGCAGCCGTCGATGCCGCACTTCCACGCCTTACACCTCAGGCGTCGGTTTTTCTGCTTAAACACCTAAAACACACCCCATCTTCCCCTACCGAATTCCACCGGTCGTCCAGATCCTTTTGTGCCAGCTTCTTACATTTGGCGATTGGGTGTTCACCCCCACAACACAAACACGGGACACTTCCGCTGTCCTCCTGGGTAGTGAACGTCTTTAAATCGCGGGACTTATCTTCTACGCGGCATGTCAACACTATGCTTTTCGACGGCGGTGCTTCTCGTCTTACGGGCGATTCCTTAGTCGGCGCAACGGACGTATAGGCGTGACTTAACGCACGGTCACCCTCTCTCATTATAAACTAGGATAATGTGACAATGTCCGGTTCGTCCACACTTCCGTAGTGCTCCGCATAATCGCACCAACGGGACCGTAAGTGAGGGCTAAGCCTTCTCGTAACCTTCCTAGTTAACATCGGATTTTGTAAATATCCCTTGCCGTCGACGTTCTGCATAACACATACTATATTTTGCAATTTAATAGCGCACGAGTTTAATTCCTGGGCGATTTGATCCGGGCGCGGAAGGCGTTTTAATTCCTCTAACGCGCGATCTATAATTATTTCCGGTTGGCCGCAACTCTGCTCCAGTGTCCGCATAATGTATGCTGGATCCTTTACGGTAATCAACAGCGCAGATACTACCTCTCTAGCCTCACTACGTAAACAGTTCCTTAATCTTGCCATATTTTCCGTATTTGTGAATCCATATAGACGCGTGGATTCTTTCATCGCGGCTTTAAACGCTAACCATTCTGCAGCCGAGCCGTTAAAAATAGGCAAGTCCTGTGTCTGCTTCGCGGCGGCTGGTCTTAATCTTATCATGCCCCTATCTTTCCCTCTCGGGGTGAGTGACCTACCTCTATCCCTATTACCCTCTAACGATACACGACTCTGGGATGTATCGTGAATATTCGGCGACCGAGACCTACGTATACCTACATCGCGGCGACACGGCGACGGTAATCTACGATCCGCGTGGCGATGTGGCGATGGCGAACTATGTTTAGGCGATAGAATGTGGCGTTGGAAGCGCGTCGGCGACGTAACCCGTACACGACGATCTACCTGGTTCATTTTTACGGCGACTCCATTATCCCTCCGTATCGTATCTACGTGGCGTGGTTGATCGTTATTCGCAAGCGACCTCCCCTGGGCATCTTCAACGTATAAGTAACCGGTTCCCATATTCGACGGGGCCTGCTCTAACTCGATGCGAGGCGCGGGCTGAGACGGGCGGCAGGGCGGCTCCTCCCGCATAGTCTCCACGTTCTCTAACCATTGATCGACACGGTTCCTCTTTGCCACTAAATCGTCCTCATTCAAACTTTCCCTATCTGTTTCTTCCTGTAACTGCGCGATGTCTCTAGCGTATTGCTTCCTAATGAGATCTTCCTCAATTTCCAGTTGCTTCCTCCTAATCGCGGCCAGTTCCTCTGCGGTATTGTATTCGATTTGTTTCAAATTCGCGATCACGCTAGCTGTCGACCGGGCTGAACGGACTGACAGGGGTGCGGCGGAGGGGGTGCGGCGGAGGGGGCTTGTGCTAACGAAAGATAATCGGACGGGGACGCGGGAGCTTCTTCGAAAATCCGCGTTCCGACGGCGTTTCGTCGTCGTTCCTAGTCTTCTGGCTTCTTGTTTTACGAATGTTGTCCCACATTGCGGCTTTCGATCGTCTTCAAAAAGACGAACGTATGGTTGCAGTCCCGGCCACAAGGGCGTTACCAGGCGATTACAGTTTGGCACCGTTAGGGATTAATCACCTGGCCGCGTAAACGCGGTTAAGAAACAAAAAGTTTGTCTGGTATAGACAATTAAACGTAAACGTAGACGTAGACGTAGTATTGTCAGAAACGTGGATAAAATTGGCTAAACGACGATCATCTTTCTTCGTCGATAAACTTCTTTCTTCTTCGATGCTCTTCTATAATGCTCTTCTTTCTTTTGAATGGTCTTCGGATCCTTCAGCTTTGATCTTTTGCCTTCAATCCGGCGACGATGGACCAAGAATTGTAAGGGATTGTAGTGGACTGATTTAATTTACTGTGTACTATGACTGATTTTAACTATTCTGTGTAATGTAAACTATACTAGAGACGGTTTAAGAAAAGATGGTACTGTAGACCGATTATATATTGCACTATTTACAAGCGGCGTTAATTAATTATGTACAGATGGGAGTCTACAGTGGGAGTTTAACAGGCCTACTCATCGACCACGTCCAAATGCCTACAGATTCCTTGCTACAATAGGTCCCAACCGCAGAGATTGTAATCCTGGACGATTTTAACGCCCACCACGCCGAATGGCTTGGTTCAAGTTTAACTGATCATGCGGGGAGATCTGTTTATGACTTTGCCTTTGCATGGATTTGCACGGATTGGGACCGAATGCGGTCTTTCTTTGCATCTTACCCATGGGGGCGGGTTTGCTTCTCGCCGGATGATCCCAGCGCTGTTGCTGACTCTGTCACTGATTTGGTGCTACAGGGAAAGGAACTATTTATTCCATCATTTGTGGTACCCATCGGAGGCAGAATCTCAGCCTTGGTTTGGTTGCTCCTGTAAGACTGCATTACGCAGTAAGCAGGAGTGTTATCAAGCCTGGGCTGCGGCTTCGGCGACTCGGGATGTAAACAACAGCATGCTTAAAAAGAAGTACAACTTCGCCTCCAGGTCCTTCAAAAGAGTTATTGCCAAGGCAAAGTCAGAGCACATAGGCAGAATTGGCGAGAAACTAGTTCATTCTGGTCTTTTGCCAAGGCTGCCCAAAGGAATTTCTGTAAGCCATCACTACCATCTCTACACAGGGAGGACGTCTCACTGGCCCAAGCCGCAAAAGACAAAGCCGACATTTTAGGCTCCCTTTTTGCATCCAACTCGTTTGATGACGGGGAGGGGGGAGGGAACACCGCCGACCATCCCGCGGTGTGAGTGCTCCATGCCGAATGTGCTGTTCTCACAGCGCTTGGTTCGCAAAGCACTCCTCTCCCTGAACATCCAGAAGTCGAGTGGGTCTGACGGACTCCCCCCACTTGTGCTGAGGACGTGTGCTCCGGAGTTGGCACCGGTCCTAACGCATCTTTTCCGGTACTCCTACTCCTTAGGCGTAGTCCTGAATTCATGAAAAACAGCTTTTGTCCACCCGATTCCTAAAAAAGGCGACCGCGCAGACCCGTCCAACTACAGGCCTATCGCCATCACCTCCTTGTTATCCAAAATAATGGAATCCATTATTAACTGCCAGCTCATGCGGTACCTTGAGGATCACCAGCTAATTAGTGACCGCCAATACGGTTTTCGTCGGAATTGATCAGCTGGTGATCTTCTGGCCCACCTGGCCCATAGATGGGCGGAGGCAGTAGAGTCCAAGGGGAGGCGTTGGCCGTTAGTTTGAACATTGCGAAGCCCTTCGATCGGGTTTGGCACAAAGCGCTTCTTTCGATGCTCCCTTCCTATGGGCTTCCCGAGAAATTATGCAATTGGATCACCAGCTTCCTTGCAGATCGGAGCATCAAGGTCGTTGTAGATGGTGCATGCTCCGACTACAAGCCTATTAGCGCTGGTGTTCTACAAGGCTGTGTGCTATTACCAACGCTGTTTCTTCTGCATATCAATGATATGTTGCTAACTCGTAACATTCATTGCTATGCGGATGACAGCACTGGTGATGCTTTATACACCGGCCGTGTCAATATTTCTCAGGAAAACGTCACCGAGTACCGAAAAAAACTTGTGTCTGAAGTCGAGTCTTTGCTAAACAAAGTTTCGGATTGGGAGCAACAAAATCTAGTCCAGTTTAATCCTCGGAAGACACGAGTTTGCGCGTTTACCACTAAAAAGAACCCTTTTGTCGTATCTCCTCAGTTTCAAGTCATTTGCCATCTTGCCTCAGCCTGTATCGGAATCGTCGGAGTCAATATGTCGTGTGACGCGCAGTTTCGTCATGACTTGGAGGAGAAGGCCAAATTAGCCTCTAAAAAGCTTGGTGTGCTCAGCAGAGCGGGACAGTATTTCATGCCGGCACACCGCCTGCAACTTTACAATGCGCAGGTTAGACCTCACATGGAATACTGTTCCTATCTTAGGGCAGGGGCACCCTATTGCCAGCTCCTTCCACTTTAACCGAGTCCTTTCCGATCGGCTCGATTCATTGGCACTGCGAAGAGATGTTGCATCCCTTTGCATTTTCTTTCGCATTTACCACGGGGAGTGCTCTGTAGAATTGTTCGAATTAATCCCAGCCGCCAAATTAACGAACGCACACCGCGGCAGAACTCCCGATACCATCCACACCATCTAGTTGATTGGCTGTCCACCACCGTGTGATTTAGAAGATGTTTTCTTGCTCGCACGACTTCTTTGTGGAATCGATTACCGTCAGTGATTTTCCGGACTGATACGACTTAGGGACCTTCAATAAAAGAGCCTACTCCTTTTTAAAAGGCCGGCTACGCATCTGCAATTCCCCTGGTTCCCCTGGTGTTGCAGTTGTTCATGGGTGGCGTTAGTCACTTACCATCAGGTGAGCCGCATGCTCGTTTGCCCCCTCTCCGATAAAATAAAGATGGCAGTCTTTAATGGAGTATCTTCTCTCTTAAGGTTTTCTTTCTTGATGTTGTATCTCGTAGTGCCGCTGCCGAAATAAACGACGTACAGCCCAAAACGCCCTTCTTATATTCTCAACCGTAACAAAAGCATTATCAATATTAAAGAAAATATAAAACATTAATACTCGTAGGCGCTAAAACATTACGGCGCGAACTCTGATAAACTTAATGGAAACTTAATTATTATGTCCTCAAGACTGAGTTTCGGTCATTTGCGCAAGACGGGATTATAGTGCCCGAGTCCCGCAAACACAGGAGCACTGTCTATTCCCTCACTTTCATAGTCCGATGGGACAATTATCCGACACGACCGGAGAGATTTAGGCGCAGGACCAACACTTTTACGGTTTCCAAGGCAAGAGCATGAAATGCCGCCAACTTTCTGACTCTAGGCTGCTACTAAGAACTTTAGGACAAAAAAACCCAATAAGTGATTTTGGCCCGAGCTGGAATTCTTACCCAGGAATTCATGTTTACTACCATTAAAAAATGAGGCAATCATTAACCATCGATGTTAAATGACAACTTAACCGATGCTTCACCTAAAATCGCTCATATTTTAATCAATATCATAAATTTCTAAGAGTTCAGTGATAGAATCACATTTGTAGCTTTTTTATAATATAGCAACTAAGAAGTAAAATTTCTGCTGATAAATAGCTGGAAGTCTCCAGACTATTATTATACTGATTCAGATTTAAAAGAAAAGGTGTCTACGGATTGTTTTAGCCACTTACCATCAGGTGAAATGTATGTTTATAAACAATATAGGAGCAATATAATAGTGCGGGGGTACTTCACCCCAGCCTCTTTCTGTATGTAAAATGTAATGGCAACAGACTGAACTGGAACCAGCCAAGAAAAACTTTTGACTTTTAACAGATATACATACTTAATGACCAAAAATAAACTGTATTTTTTTATTAATAAACAAACCCATCAAAGCGACTTATAAAAATACACATAAGAAAAACGGATATGATACTATTTTTCTTGTCCGACTATAAAATATAGTATCGGCCGTTAAATATTTATGAATAATGATAGGCCAACGATTGTCATGGGGCAACTTAATGGCAGAGTTAGAAAATATTATAGCATAAATTATGCACTCAGGGGC